CAGCCCCTGCGCGCACGGCCGCTGTCTTGGCCATGACGAACTTCAGGACTGCGGGAGGGGTGCCAGCACAGGTCGCCCCGTACGCCACTGACGCTTTGAGGCCTTGCTGCACCACAGGGCGCACCCTCACCCCTCTGCGCATGAGAGCCGCCGCCTTGCACCAGCGGCCTCGGGCCGTCTGGACCCGTCTGGATCTGGCGGTCCTCTTCCGAGGGCCCTGAGGTTGGTAGTCAACTCCCAACCAGCGCTCGCTCTCACCGTGCTGTAGGCCGATGTCGGCCATGGCCTGTGTCAGCTCCTGTGCCAAAGAGCCGCCGCTGGAGACGAACTTAGACTTGCCTCTCACACCCTTCGAGACCTTTAGCTGAAGCAACGACTCCAGAAGGTGGATGAGAGCGCGGGCCAGGTCGGGAAAGATCGCCCTCAACTGTACGCTCCTGCCCACCATACGCAGCGCCAAGTCGTCAACAAACTTCGTGATCTCCAGCTTGGTCCCTGGCCAGCGGGCCACGACATCCCGGATAGGATGCAGCACCATCTTCAGGAAGCGATTGGCGCACTTCGATCCAGCGGGCAAACCAACATGGGTGCAGATGAGGTCGGCGACGGCCTGGCCCTCACGTACCGCTCGAGGGAAGGCGTACGACTCCAGGGAAAGGGCCAACACGCTCATGGGCGCTTGCTGCACCATGCCGAGAATCCAAATCAAATTGAGCGCCACATATTCATAGGCCTTCTCCAAATCCATCAAGGCGGTGATAGATGCGAAACAGGTACCTTCCAAGGCCTCGTCATCCAACATCGCTCTCCAGACCGCATGCTCACTGCTACGCCCTGGTGATGCCCAGTCGTATGGCCTCACGTGGGTCCGCTCCCACTGGCGAACCGAGGGGTCCCGAACAGCCTCCCAGATGCGCACAGGCGTGGGAAACAGGAAGATGGGCCTGCCGCCACCGTCCTCCTTGGCCACCAGGAAAAGGATGAGCATGCGTATGGACGTAGGCCACGAGCAGAGCCGCTCGCACAGCATGAGGATGTCCCCGAGGCACTTCAAGGCCTCGTCGCTGAGCCAGGCCAGGTGTCCAAAATGCCAGCCGTCCAGCCCAAGCCCAGTCTTCCATTTGTAGCTGCGGCATATGGTGCGCACCTGCACCGCGTCGATGGCAGGCAGCATCTGCGCGTGGGCCATCCGTTGTGGCTGGACCTGAGTGACCTGCCACAACTTGGTGTAGTCACCTGACCCAGCGCGCCAAATGCTAGCCCACTCCTGCGCCTCCTGAGTGACCGCGAGCTGCGGGTCAGCAGGCAGCTTCAGCTTCTTGGCCGACGAGATGGGCTCCTTCCACGCCTGCTTCCAGTGGCAGATGCGATGCAGAAAGCCCCCCGAGCCAGGGAACTTCGCGCCCAGGCGCTCATAGAATCGCTTGGAGCGCTGCCGCATGAGGTGCTGCTCCCAGGACTGGGCCCGCTTCTTGGCGAGCTGCTGCAGCGCGAGGATGGCCTGGGCACCGATGATGTGGGGCTCCACGTCTGCGATAGCGCGCAGAGTGGACAGCATCCCCACGCTCCAGAGCCCCAGCTGGTCCCAGTGGTGTCTCGCCTGGAACAGCTCCCTCCAGGCTCGCCTGAGCTGGCCTGCGACCTCCTCGTTGTAGGTCCGAGGAGGCCCTCCTCCCGAGGTGGAAAACTGGCCCGCAAGGGCCTCCGACTTGGCCTTGGGCGCCGACTGTCCCCGCAAGACGCAGCAGACGAGTTGGCCTATCCAGGCCAGTTCCCCCGCGGCCCAACGCCAGGCCCTGGCTGGGCCTCGATCAGCCACTGGGCTGTCATGCTTCGGGAGAAGCTGTCTATGCACCACCTCGGGAGTCAAGCCTCGGCCCTCATACCTGCGCGCCTCCGACTCTGTCCATCCGAACAGCGATCGAAGCTCGGCCTCAGCAGCAGAGCAAAAATCCAACCAGCACTGGTCCAGGTGCCGCTGCGAGCCGTGTAGCAGGTCGGGCACGGGGTAACTCTGCGGGATCTCGGGCTGCCTGACAGGAGGTGGCCTCGTGATTGGGTACTGCTTCGGGCCCTTGAGGACCTGGATCTGGTATGCGTGCCAGGGTTTGTCGGCGCGGATCCAAGTCGGCCTGCGCGGCCTGTAGGCCATGTTCTCGAAGGACTTCACAGGGCAGAAAATCACGGCCAGCCTCGCGTCCATCCAGAAGAAATCGATGACCCGATCCTTGAACTCCTCCGCACCCTGCTTTACCACCTTGGACCTGCACGTTCCACCTTCCCCTTGCCAGGCCAAGACCTGGCCCTTGGCCTCCTGGTTCCAGGGGCTGTTGAGAATGGCGTGCGGCTCATTGTTGAAGTCACCCATGGCCACCCAGGGGATCCTCATCTGGCAGACCCAGTGCACGATGGCATCCAGCAAGGCAGCGTTCAAGGCCCAGGTGACAGGCTTGCCCGCGAACAGGTACACCGAGAAAAAGGCCACCCAGCCAATGCCCTTGACCCCGGTCATGCCCAGGCACAGCCTGCCTGCGGCGCCCGCGGGGAAGATGTCCCACGAATCCTGTCCTGGCGCCAGGCTGAGGCTCAGGCATCGCGGTGTGGCCAACGCCACGCCCGCGGAGCTGCCGCCCTCTGCCGTACGTACGGCGGGTGCCCCCACGACTCGCCAGCCCCGTCGCTCTTGCGCCGCCGCCGTGACGTGGAACCACTCGGCGGGCTTCGCGTTCTCCTGCACCGCTAGGATGGGGATGCCGCCCTCCTTGATGAGCTGGCCGATTTCCTCTTCCAAGAACTCCTCGACGCGAGCCCAGGAGAGGTTGGCGTTGAAGGTGGCGGCGATGACGTGTCGTGCTCCTCGCCGAGCGCGTCGGCGACTCTGGGGCATCCCAGCTGGGTCATCCCCCTTGTGCTGCGGCCTGCCCTCGAGGCCGACGGACTGGGGGGCGGCGGGTCCGAAGGGCGGTGGCTGCCTGCCCATGGCCGCAGGGGTGCAGTGGCCCATACCCTGGCCAGCGTAGGCGCCCCCGCCGCCCCAAGTGAGGCCGTCCCCGTGCCGCTCCTCCTTGTGGAAGCCCCCGCTCGTCCAGAACTGGCCGTCCTCGAAGGTGGTCCAGTCGAGCATGGGCGGGCCCGCGGGCCCATCAAAGAGGCGTCTGGGGGGGCGCCTCCTCGCCAAGGTGGTCGTAGAAGGAGCCCAGCACTGCCCGCTTGGCGGCTCGCTCCTCCTCGGGCAGCCCACTGAGGTAGCGGTCCAGCAGCTCGTCCCTCTTGCGCTTCTGCTCCTCCACGGATCCGCCGCCGCCTTCGGCCGCGGCCTGGGCAGCAGGCTCCCTTGGGGGGGCGTCCGCCGCCGCTGCCTCAGGTCCCCCAGGAGGCGCGGCGGCAGCAGCAGTGGGGGCCCCCGCAGCCTGAGGGAGCTCCTTGACCAGCTTGAGCAGACTCTGGAGAGACTCCACGAGCGGCTTGGGCACCGCATCTCCGTCTCCCTCGGTGTCTCCCACCAGCTTCTCCAGGTTGGCCACGAGCTGGCTGATGACCGCCTGCCCGCAGTGTGGCCCGCCGCCGTGAGGGCCCGCTGCCCCAGCTGGGGCCTGCTCCTCGGCGACCACCCGCCTGGCCAGCTGAGCCTTCTCCTCCTGCAACTGTTCCAGCTCCTTGCTGGCCGCCTCCTGCATGCGCTGGGCCTCCGCCAGGCGCTGCTGGAGCTCGGGCACGACCTCATCCCGCTGGCGAGCGAGCTTGCGCTGCGCGGCTGCCATCTTGCCCTCCAGCGCCTGCAGCTGCAGGTGCAGGGGCTTGCCTGCCCGCTTCTGAGCGACAAGGGCCGCCCTCTCAGCCCGCTTGGCCTCGATGATGGACACGAGGCTGGGGTCTGCGAGGGATTCCAGCATGCCGATCGACTTGTCGAGCACCGCCCGCGATGGGGTCGGGCTGCTCGGCTGACTTCGACTTGAGCAGGTCTGTGCCAGCCCCGAAGTAGCCCCAAGCAGAGCCAGCAGTGCCGCGAGGAGCGGGGCCAGCCACGCCCTTATCCTTGCCCTTGTCGCCCTTCTCCTTGCCCTTGCCCTTGGCCTTGCCCCCCGCTGAGGGGCTTGTCGTCTGCCACGGTCGCCGCACCGGAGCGGAGCGGGACGCACGCATGATGGCCGCCTGGATGTGTCTCGGCGCAGGGGCGAGACACTGGCGGCACTGCATCTTTGTCGCGAAGTTGCCTCCAGTCCCACAGTGCCCACATGTCCAGGGCTCGGCCCCCTGGAGCGGGGAGAGAAACTGAAGCGACGCATCCTTCCAAGGTGTCATCAACACACTGTGGCGGCAAAAGAGGACGAGCAAGGCGGTAGGATACCGAGTGTGCCCTGTCTGGTGATGTCAGGGGAAAGCTGCTGGGGCCGTGTGCGCCTCTGGGCGCTCCCCAATGCCAGAAAGTCTCCGTCCGCTGCTGACGCCTGGGCCAAGCTACGGACTTGAGCCAAAATGGCTACGGCCTCCTCCTCCTCCTCCTCCTCCTCCTCCTCCTCCTCCTCCTCCTCGTCCTCCTCCTCCTCCTCCTCCTCTTTTTCCTCCTCCTCATCTTCCTATTTCTCCTCCTCCTCCTCCTCCTCCTCCTCCCCCTCATCCTCCTCCTCCTCCTCCTCCTCCTCCTCCTCCTCCTCCTCCTCCCCCTCCTCCTCCCCCTCCTCCTCCTCCTCCTCCCTCCTCCTCCTCCTCCTCCTCCTCCTCCTCCTCCTCCGCCTCCTCCTTTCCTTTCCTCCTCCTCCTCCTCCTCCTCCTCCTCCTCCTCCTCCTCCTCCTCCTCCTCCTCCTCCTACTCACCCTTACCCTCACCATAACCCTCACCCTCACCCTCACCCTCACCCTCACCCTCACCCTCACCCTCAACCATCACCCTCACCCTCACCCTCCCTCCCTCACCCTCACCTCACCCCCTCCCTCCCTCCCTCCCTCCCTCCCTCCCTCCTCCTCCTCCTCCTCCTCCTCCTCCTCCTCAAGCGAAGCTCCTCCGCGCGTCCTCGCGGCCGACACCGGGCCAGGGCGGCGACGAGGGCGCCCCAGTGTTGCAGGTGCCGATCTCGTGGGAGTACCTGGGAGGCGCAGCAGCAAGAGAAGGGAAGCAGGAGGGAGGAAGCGGGAGGGAGAGCAGAGGTAGGAAGAGGAGAAGAGAGGGAGGGGAAGGGGCAGAAGAAGGGGCTTTCAACGAGGAGAAGCAGCAGAAGCAGGGCGAGGGAGGAAGAGGGAAGAGCAGCGGGAGAAGGAGGAGCGGAAGTCAGGAGGAGGAGAACGCTACGGGTCCCAACCTCGCGAGAGCACCCCTGGGAGCAGGAGGAGAAGGAGGAGGAAGAAGAGGTGGCAGGAGGAGCAGGAGAAGGACGAGCAGCTGCAGAAGGGGGGCGGGCAAGAAGGGGGAAACTAAGGGTGGGAGGAGAAGGAGAAGGACGAAGCGATGGGGGCGAGAGCGGGGAGAGTCGTTTGATCGCCGGTCTTCCTCCAGCAGTCTGGGCCCTAACCCACCTCCATACATACCTATGCAACCACCTTTCGGGTGATCAGGAGGCTCAGGGGGGGGAACCAACGTCTAACTCAATCGACCTCATGATCGATGTCACTATCGATCATAATATCGATACCACTATCGATCACACTGTCGGCCTCACTATCGATCTCACTATCAACCTCATCATCGAAATCACTACAATCTCACTGTCGGCCTCACTATTGTTCTCACTATCGATCTCACTATCGATCTCACCATCGGTGTTGCTATCGGTCTCACTATCGTCTCACTATCAATCTCACTGTCGATCTCACTATTCAACTCACTATAAATGGCACAATCGACCTCACAATCGATTCCGCGATCAATCTCAGGTTCCAGGTGCAAAGGAAGCCTGGTGCCTCCTGTGTTCCTTTGAATAAGAAAACCGATGCGAAACTATCCCTACGCCTCCCCCTCTTTCCTTCTCTCTCTCTCTCTCTCTCTCTCTCTCTCTCTCACTCACTCACTCACTCACTCACTCACTCTCTCTATATATATATACTAGAACCATCGCGCGCGCTTCGCGCGCGCTCAGGTTCTACCAGGCCCCAGGCCTTGACGAATTCACTGCTCCACTGAAGTAGTGGACCACAGTCCACGCACGCCTATCTGCATTCCGAAAGGCCTTCGAGGAAAATGGTTGTGTAGGGGGGCGGAGGCCGTATGAATCGGATTCCCAGAAGGCCTTCTGGGAGGATGAATTTGGGGCATCTTGGCGAGCTTGTTGGGGCGTGCCGTCGTCATCGTCGTCGTCGTCGTAATGTCGTCGTCGCCTATTGGGGCGCGCTGTCGTCGTCGTCGTCGTCGTCGTCGTCGTCGTCGTCGTCGTCGTCGTCGTCGTCGTCGTCGTCGTCGTCGTCGTCGCATCGTCTTCGTCGTTTCGTCGTCGTCGTCGTCGATCCAGAGGGCACTTGGGGCAACTTTGTGCGAAACGATCTGCGGAGGGCCGCGAGAAGGCGATCAGTCATGTTCCCAATCAACTTCCAAGACAGCTCTCCTGTAGCATGATGGTACTTCGAAGCCTCCGGAGACTCGCGGGCGAGGCCGTGAGGGAGCGCTGGGAAGCGGGAAAAGCGAGAACGTCTAAATACTTCAAAAACCATTGGAACATTAGTGAATCTTGCCTCCCAGGGCCCTCTTGGGGAGCCTCTTGAGTCCGTCCTGGAGCGTGTTGGAGTCCTCGTCGGCCGTCTTGAGGGCATCTTGGGCGTCTTCGGGGCCTCTCGGGACCGTCTAGGGCCCTCTCGGGACCTCCATTAGCCTGTCGTGGCCTGCTTCGGGGCGGGCCCGGGCCGCCTACCCCTCTGGGCCTTCTCTTGGCGCGCTCTTGGGGCACACTTGGGTTGCCTGGAAGCATCCTGGGCCGTCTTGGGGCCCTCGTCGGGGCCTCGTGAGCCTTCTTGGAGCGATCTGAAAGGCCTCCGAGGCAATGAAGGGAGCGCTGGAAAGCGGGAAAAGCGAGAACGCCAAAATCCAAAACACTCGGAACTGAATCTTGCCTTCCAGGGCCCTCTTGGGGAGCCTCTTGAGTCCGTCCTGGAGTGTGTTGGAGTCCTCGTCGGCTGTCTTGCGGGCATCTTGGGCGTCTTCGTGGCCTCGTGGGACCGTCTTGGGTCCTCTCGGGACCTCCTTAGCCTGTCGTGGCCTGCTTCGGGGCGGGCTCGGGCCGCCTCGGGAGCTCTGACCCCCCCGCAACCCCTGGTGGGCACCGATGGGGGGAACGAGCAGCGGCCCGCCCCCCCCCCGGGCCTACTCCGAGATAGAGAATCATGTTACCGGGAAACTTTCTGGGAGCATGATTTGTTCCGCTCTCTGAGAGGGGGGCCTCTGGGGGCTTACCGAGGGGCGCCTTTTGGCCTTGTCGGCAAGCCAATTGGAAACATGGTTGGGGCGGCGGGCGGAAGCCCAAGGAATCATGTTCCCAGAAAGCTATCTGGGAAATACGATTTACCGAGGTGTCTTGGGGGTCCGCAGGGGGCTTCCCTGGGGGTCGCTTGGGGGCCTATTGGGGCTTCCGGGTGGCCTCTTGGGAGCCTCACGGGGCTTCTTGGGAACCTCTTGATGGCCTCCGGGGGCGTCCTGGGAGCCTCTCAGGCCGGAGACCTCGAAATGTCGCGCTCTTCGGGCCCTCTTGGGTCGCTCTTGGGACTCTCTTGGGGCGCTCTCGAGGGCCTCTTGACTTATCTGGGGAGCCTCCTGGGCCGTCTCTGGGCTTTCTTGGGAGCCTCTCCGGCCGTCTTGGAGCGATCTGAAGGGCCTCTGACGCGGTCCGGGACCGTGGGGAGGCGGAACATGGGAGAGAGCAAGAATGCTTCAAAAACCATAGGAAAATGTATGATTGTCGGCTTCTGGAGCCATTTGGAGGGGCCTCTGAAGGTGTTTTTTTTGTATGTCTAGCGATGCGGACTGTATACAGTTGCACGGCGGTGTGGCTCAATCCTGCAGCGTAGCTCTCCGCGGCAGGGAATCCTACCTGATCTGAAGGCAACGGCTGCAAGGTCCAGCTCCTAAATACGCAACCATGCTGCGAAAAAGCGGGCTGACCTAGAGGGCCCCGTGCCTCTCACCTGGCCTGCCTACCCGAGTGCGTAGGCACTGGGAACAACTCGCTCGAAACCTGCAGCATGGACCTAAGCTGGATGGCGAACAACTCAGCAGGACCGCCACCGAAAACTCCGAAAACCTGCATCGTGCCAAAACTCGTGGCTGCAACCGGGCCAATTTGGCATCCGGGCGGCCCCGAAGAGCCTCTGCTCCGAGAGACGGCACTGGAATCGCGGCGGGGCACCGCCGCGGCTCTGCCCCCGCCTGTTTGCCAGGCGTCGCGTTTTCAACTTTCCTCCTGAAACCAGAACTAGGCCTTCTCGATAGACTCTGCCGATGTTCTTGGACAGCGGCGTCTGCAGCAAGACAGCCGTTGGGAATGTGCCAAGTCGCGAGGACGCCCCCGGCGATTGGAAGGCGGGGGAGACAGGTAACCGCAGAGGGTCTTTCATGCTGCTCACCCCCGTCCCCCGAAGCTCTCGGCTGAGAATAAAACTCGTCCTCCCCCACGTCGTCCCTCTCAGTAGTAGTAGACGGCGGGGGCCTTGAGGCTTTGAGGATGGGGCGCGGCAAAAGGCCCCCGTGAAGGGGCACCGTCGCGGGCGCAGCGGGTCCGGGCCTCGGCGCTCGGCGCCGAGCGGCATGGACGCTGGGCGGGCACGAGGGCCCACTCGCCAGCGCTGCTGCGTGGAGGCTGCCGCAGCGTCGGCAACCTCAAAACGGGCACTCCTCCTCCACCACCTCTCCTCCACCTCCTCCTCCTCCTCCTCCCAGTCAGAGCGTCCCAGCACGCGGGTGAGGGGGGCGCCACGTGGCCTGCAGGCGGCCAAGAGCGAAAGAAAAAGAGCAATGGCACGGCTTGGTCTCGGAGCCGCTGGCGGTTGCACCGGCAGTCCGGAAGTTCGCTCCCAACTGCTTGCAGTGACCAGCGGCTCCTAGCAACTCACAGCAAGGTGGCACGACCAGCCACGCGAATCTGGGCGGGCGTTTGGAACCCCAGTCCCACTTGTGCGGAGGCTAACCCTGTAGTGGCAACCTCAAATTGTTTTTCTCATCACCGCGCACGTGCTCCCAATCCTGCCAGGGACTGCTTGCACGCTGTATGAAGAAGAGGGCGGGCCTTGGCCCGTACCGCAACCTCACATGGCCATTTTAGTCAGAACGTGCCGCAACCTCATATGGGCATTTTAGTCAGAACGCCCCAGCACCTGGGTTGAGGGCCGCCACAAGGATGGGAACCGGAGTCGGGAAGACGTAAAACTTGACACTGACTAGCGGCTCCTAGCAACCCCTAGATGTGTGGTACGACCGGCCACGCGACCTCAGGGCGGCACCGACTGCTGCGGAGGGCGACCGCGGCGGCGCAGCCGGCGGCGAGGCCAGAGGCGCAACAACCGGCACGAGCGCCCCGCGGCGCAACTCCCTTGAGATGGCGCCCGCCCAGCTCCTGGGGCCGCCCTCGGCGCCTCCGCCCTGGGCGGCTCCTGCTGCTGGGGGCTCGGCCGCCGCCGGGCCCTCGCCTTCGGCGCCCTCCGCTGCCGCCGGCGCGGCCGCCGCGGGCCCGAGGTAGCCGCCTTCGTCGACGCGCGGACAACGCGGCCGCACGCCCACCTCCCAAGGCGAGCACGCCAACCGCCGCGCGGCGGCAGCCTTCAGCTCCCAGTACGCCTCGGACTGGAGGCGCCTCGGCGGGGGCGCTGGCATCGCAGACCCCCTCCCGGGGCGCTCGTCCCTGACGGGCACGGTCTCGAAGAGCGCCGTCTTGAGGAGCGCCGGCTCGTCGCCGCCCCTCGAAAGCGCAGCGACGCCCCAGTCCTCCTGGTGCGCATCGCCGTCCTGGTCGTCGTCGAGCGTGAGCAAGTCGTCGAGCGTGGGGCAGCGCGTGGGGGCCGAGCTGGGCACGTGCGGTCCGAGGCACTCCACCTTGCCCTTCCCCTGTGCGGCGAGAGGCCCCTCCATGTCTTGAGACCTCGCGCGCGGGCTGAGCATGATTGGCGGGGTGCCTTCTGGCAGGCTGGCGGCCACCCGCTGCAAGCTTCGAGGCCCCTGCTTGAGCCAAAATGGCTACGGAACCTCTGGAGGCGCTCTTGGGGCGTTTTGGCGGCGTCGTCGGCCGTCCTGAGGCCATCTTCGGCGTGTCTGGTGCCTCTGGGGGCTGACTTTGGGCGTCCTGGGAACCTGGAAATCCTGTTCCCGGAGAGGCTTCCGGGAACATGATTTCGAACGAGGCTCTCTTGGGCCTCCCTGAGGCCGTCTTGGGGGCCTCCCGGGCTGGCTTTGGGGCCTCTTGGGCCGTCTTGGGGGGTTCCGTCAGCCCCACAGGACGACCCCTTTGGGCCGTCTTGAGCCCTCTTGGGTCTCTCCCTGGCTGTCTTGGGGCTCCTCGGGGGCGTCTGGGGCACTGCGAAGACGAAGCAAGGGAGTATGCTGAAAATGTATTTTTTACTACAGGAGCGGGCTGATTTTTGCCTCGTGAAGGCCCTCTCGGGGCCCTCATCGGCCATCTTGCAGCCATCTCGGGCCCTCCTGGGCCTTGCTGAGGCTGTCTTGTGGGCCTCTTGGGCGTCCTGGGAACCCAGAAATCATGTTCCCGGAGAGGCTTCCGGGGACATGGTTTCGAACGAGGCCCTCTTGGGCCTCCCTGAGGCCGTCTTGGGGGCCTCCTGGGCGGGCTTCGGGGCCTCTTGGGCCGTCTTGGGGGGTTCCGTCAGCCCCGCGGGACGATCTTTTTGGGCCGTCTGGGGCCCTCTTAGGTCTCTCTTGGGCTGTCTTGGGGCTCCTCGGGGACGTCTGGGGCACTGCGAAGACGAAGCCAGCGAATATGCTGAAAATGTACGCTTTACGATGGGAATGAGCCGATTTTTGCTTCATGAAGGCCCTCTCGGGGCCCTTTTCGGCCATCTTCAAACCATTTCGGGCCCTCTTGGGGCGCTCTTGGGCGTCTTCGGGGTCTCTTGAGGCTTCCTTGACCATCTGTACGGCCCGCGTGGCCTGTCGTGGGCAATTTGGAAGCGGCCCGGGGCAGTCCCGGGGGGTATGTGACCCCCCAAAGGTTCGGGGGGGCGCCCATATGGGGATGATGGCACCGGTTTTGGCCCCCCCCTGGCCTACTCCGATAATATATATACACATTTATATATATATATATATATATATATATATGTATGTATGTATGTATGTACGTATGTACATATAAGAATAGATTGTGTGTATATGTATATACTAGAACCATCGCGCGCGCTTCGCGCGCGCTCAGGTTCTAGCCCAGGCCGGGGGGGGGCGCTGGACGATCTTGGACAACGCTATGAAGCACAGGCGCGCGACGGCATCTGAGGAGTTTCTGGGTTGTTCCGCATGCTTCGTCAACTGGCTGTTGGAGGCACCTCTTGGGTGCCTCTTGGGGGGGCGTCTGAGGGTCCCTTGGGGGCATCGGTTCTGCAATCTGAAGCCGTCATTGGCCGTCTTGGCTGCGTGGAGTCCCGACTTGAGGCCACCTGCGGCCAGATTGAGGCAATCCAGAAGCCTCCCGGGGGCCTCCTGGAAGCAGTTTTGACGCATCGAGGGCACTCTTGGGCTATTTTAGGACCTCTTGTTTTGGGCCCTCGGGAAGTTTCTGGGGTCCTCGTCAGACCACTTGGGGGCCTCTTGCGGCCTCCTGTGGGCGCTCTGCTGCTGTGTCGCGTTCCCCTTCTTGGGCCTCTCTTGGGGCTCTTGGGACCCTCTCGGGCCGTCTTGGGCGCCTCAAGCACCGTCTTGGGGCCCTCGCGGGCCGTCTTGGGGCCCTCTTGGAGGCCTCTTCCTCTATATTGGAGCGGCATTGGAAGCCTCTTGGGCCGTCTTGGAGCATCGGGATGCCAAAAGGCAGAAAAAAAAACCCGTCAAAGCCCAATCGTAAAACAATGAGTTGTGCCTCTTGGGGCCACCTTGGGAGATCTCTTGGAACCTCGTCGGCCCTCTTGGGAGCTTCTTGGGGGCCTCTTGGATCCGATTGGGGGCCTCTTGGGACTTCCCGAGAACCTCTCGGGGTAGAAAGCTCTGATTCTCGGTTCGTGTTTCCCTTCTTGGGCCTCTCTTGAGGCCGTCTTGGGGCCCTCTCGGGCCGTCTTGGGCGCCTCAGGCACCACCTTGGGGCCCTCGTGGGACTCGTGGGCCGCCCAGGGCCCTCTTGGAAGCCTCTTCGGCTATCTTGGAGCTGTCTTGGAGGCCTCTTCCTCCTCCTCGTCCACCTCCTCCTCCTCCTCCCACTCCAGCTCTCTCTCCTTCTGATCTTCCTCCTCCTCCTGCAGCGTGTTCCGGAAGGCTCCCGCCGGAACATGCTGTGCACAAGTGCTGTCACTGCTCCCGCCACCGTGCCCTGGGTGGTGGGTCAGAGGCCTTATGGGTGTTGGTTTGGATCACGTGGTTGGCCTGTCGGAGACGTCGTGAAGCCAGTTTCGCAGCTTCTCGATAGCCGTTTTGGGACCGTTGTGGGGCTTCCTCGGGGCTGTTTTGTGGCCTCGTTAGGCCTCGTTTGGGCCTCCTGGGTGCCTCTTGGGGGCCTCCTGGGGCCTCTTGGGGGCTCCTTGGGGCCTCCTGGGGCACTCTTCAAGCGGGAGGGTCGAATTTTGGAGTCGTGGTCCCCCTCTTGGGCACATCTTGGGGCCGTCTTGGGGCTGTCTTGGGCGACTCTGGGGCCGTCTTGGGGCCCTCTTGGGCCGTCTTGGGGCGCTCTTGGGGGCCTATTGAGCCGTCTGGGAACGTCGGACAGCCGAAAAGGCTGGAAGGCCAAAACCGTTCGAAAACCTTCGTAAAATCGACGATTTCGGCCTCTTGAAGAGCTCTGGAGAGGCGTCTTGAAGCGTCGTGGAGTGCCTTGGGGGGCCTCTCGGGCCGTCTTGGGCCTATCTTGGGCGTCCTGGAGCGGTCTTTCGGCGACTCGGGGCCCGCTTGGGCCGTCTTGGGAGCCTATGGAGGCCCTCCTGGACTATTTTGGACCTCCCCGGCCGCCCCGTCCTCCCACGGGGGGTCGGAGGCGGCGGCCTCCGAGATCCAGGACGCGGAAACCCTGTAAAAACATTGGGAAAATGAGCCCCGGTACTCCCATGGAGGGTAGAGGCAGCTGTTTTCGGGCCCTAGGCCTGCCCCCCCGTGATGTGTATATGTATGTATGTATGTGTAGATATATATATATATATAATATAATATAGTATAATATAATATAATATAATATAATATAATGTAATGTAATGTAATATAATATAATATAATATAATATAATATAATATAATATAATATAATATGAATAATATAATATAATATAATATAATATAATATAATATAATATAATAGAATTGTAATGTAATATAATATAATATAGTATAATATAATATAATACAATATAATATAATATAATATAATATAATATAATAGAATGTAATGTAATATAATATGACATAATATAATATAATATAATGTGATATAATATGTTACAATATAGTATATTATGTTATAACATAGTATAATAGAGTATCATATAATATAATATAATATGATATAATATACTATAATATAATATAATATAATATAATATAATATACTATACTATACTATACTATACTATACTATACTATACTATACTATAATATAATATAGTATAATATACTATAATATAATATGATATAATATAATATAATATAATATGATATAATATAATATAATATAATATAATGGAATAATATATAATAATATATATATAGGTAGATAGATAGATAGATAGATAGATAGATAGATAGATAGACACACATACATACATACATACATACATACATACATACATACAGACAGACAGACAGACAGACAGACAGACAGACAGACAGACAGACAGACAGTCCTCCTCCTCCTCCTCCTCCTCCTCCTCCTCCTCCTCCTCCTCGTCTTCCTCCTCATCCTCGTCCTTTCCCGAGCCATACAATAACAACTTGCGTGGAACCCCTCTCGGGCCCATCTTGGGGCTCTCTTGGGCCGCCTTTGGAGCCTCTTGGGGCGTCCTGGGTCTCTCGTGGGAGCTTCTTGGAGCTCTCTTGGCGCCTCCTGGAGCCTCTTGGGGCCGAAAGCTCGGAATTCTACAGTGGCTTTCTCCCTCTGGGACCCCTCTCGGGCACGCCTTGGGGCTCTCTTAGGCCATTTTGGAATCCAATTTTGCCGTCCTGGGCGCCTCGTGAACCGTCTTGGAACTCTCTTGGGGGCCACGTAGGCCGTCTTGGGAGCCTCTTCGGACGTGTTGGACGCGGTGAAAACCCAACAGGCGACCATGCGAAAAGTATACGTTTTCCCATAGTAATGGGACCATTTTTGCTTCTTGGACCTCTCTTGGGGTGCCTCTCGGAACGTCTTGGGCTGATTTGGAAGCCTTTTGGCGCCTCTGGGCGGCGTTTTGGCGCCTCCTGGGATGTGTTGGGCCGGAAGCTCGGAATTCGAGAGTGGCTTTCTCCTTCTGGGACCCCTCTCGAAGTCGTCTTGGGGTTCTCTTGGGCCGTCTTGGGGCCGTCCTGAGCCACTCGTGCGCAGCCTTGGAGCGCTCCCGGAGGCCTCCTAGGCCGTCTTGGAGGCCTCTTGGGCCGTCTTGGACGCGGTGAAAGCCCAAGATGCGAACATGCGAAAAATATACGTTTTCCCATAGGAATGGCACGATTTTTGTTTCTTGGACCTCTCTTGGGGTGCCTCTCGGAACGTCTTGGGGTGCTTTTGGGAGCCTTTTGGCGCCTCTTGGCGGCATTTTGGCGCCTCCTGGAGCCTCTTGGGCCGGAAGCTCGGAATTCGAGGTTGGCTTTCTCCGTCTGGGACCCCTCTCGAACTCGTCTTGGGGCTCTCTTGGGCCGTCTTGGGGCCGTCCTGGGCCACTCGTGCGCAGCCTTGGAGCGCTCCCGGAGGCCTCGTAGACCGTCTTGGGCGCCTCTTGGGCCGTCTTGGACGCGGTGAAAGCCCAAGAGGCGAACATGCGAAAAATATAC